GCTTGAGCCCAGGAGTTTGAGGTTGCTGTGAGCTAGGCTGACGCCACGGCACTCACTCTAGCCAGGGCAACAAGCGAGACTCTGTCTCAAAAAAAAAAAAAAAGAAAAGAAAAGAGGGGAAGAAAATAATAAAACAATTCTAAAAAAGAAATCCTATTGGAATCAGCAAAAAGAGTAACATTGCTGAAAACACAGAGACAAAAAGGACAGACTAGTGAAAATTAAGCAAAATGAAATGGAAATAAAAAGGGCTAGCAGTTCTGAGCACTTATTACATATACTCTTGCAAGCCCTTTTAATGTTTGTCTCAGTAAGTCTTCATAACAACTCTTTGAGGTAGAGACATTATCATCTTCATTTTCAAAACAGGAAGCTGAGGCGTGGAAGTTCCAGCAACTGACCCACAGTTATACAGAGTAAGTGACATGCAAGGATTTGAACCCAGTCTGGCTCTAAAGTCTGTACCTATGTGCCTCCCACGGAAAAAAGATCAAGGCTTTAAAAAAGACTAGAAACAAAGTTACAGATATTGAGAACAAAGGTGAGCTAATATATGCATAACCAAAGAGAACAGAAGAGAAAATGGAATCAAACACAAATATTTAAAAGAGATACAAAAAAAAGTTCCCACAATAAAGCAAAACCTAACACGGCAGAATAACGGGTACACAGAGTCCTGGGAAAAACTGATAGAGAATGATCAATACTGGAACATATCCAGTACAGGCACTGGACTTCAAGGACAAAGAAGGAATTCTACGAGCAGCCAGGCCAAAGGAAAAAGAATCGAGTCACTAATGATGGGAACAAAAATCAGGCTGACTTCTTCACAGTAGCATATAATACTAAAAGACAATGGAGCAATACCTAAGAAGTCCTCCAAGACAGAACATGTGGTGTGAAGTCCAAGGACTGATCTGGCCATGGTATGTTGGAAGTACAAAGGTAAGCATGCAAGAACTCAGAGCCATCATACTCTTGTGCCTTTCTTTAAATCATAGAAGATTAGGGCCAGTTCTTGACCAACATTTTGAGAATAAATAAATACTTTTATACTAATACATATTTTTTCAGACAGTGCAAAAACAAACCTCAGCTTAATTATTACAGACTGCAAGTTTTGATTAGAGATATCCCAGATAATATTTTTTTGCTATCTATTCACAGAAAGACGACAAGAAGAGAATGAAATACAAAGAAGTCCATCAACTTGCCTTAAGTCATAGGCTGAAGAGCTAGACACCAAATCCAAGCTTCTAAGCTTGGGGCACTCAGCACCCACTCTCTTCCCTGCTTCTTTCAACTGCCACCCAGATTTTTAATGAATGAAAAGTTTTCAAAGAATAAGGAAGAAGGCACTGATTTCATAATACATCAATATAAATGAGCTTTTCACAGCTATTACTTTTCCTCTTAGGAAGACTGAGGATGCTGATTAAATGGCATTTTCAACACGGTATAGAGGAAAACACAAATAGGAAAGTGATGCAATTATACCCTCCCCAAATTTTTCCAGGAAAATATACTAAAACATATACTGTACTATAGCATATACTATACACTCTACCGCAACTAAAAGGAAATAATTCATATCATGGATTAGTTTATCCAAGGGCACATAATTACTCTAAGTTACATATCATAAAACAAACCGTAACAAATCATTATGCTCTGATATCTCTGCAGTGTTTGACATTCAAACTTTAAAACAGCCTAAAAACATAATTACACGATAAGAAGTCCCACAGGCTTTATGAATGTCACATTGTCCTTCTGCTACTAATTAACCTCATTTTATGTACCTGAGCCAAACGTCTTTCCATCCTGAGCTCAGTGAAAGGGTTTCAGGAAAAAAAAAAATACATTCCCAGCAACTGCTCCTTCATTACAAGATTACTGAGATCTGCCATTAGCTCACTATTACATCAGGCCTCCCTTCAGGTATCACATTCATAAATGATCATGGTGCTAATGATAGAAACAGCTAACACTTATTGATAATAATTCACATGTCAGAGAGTAATAGACCTCTTTAGTCCATCTATCTCTTTTACTATTCCAAATAGCCCTAGATGGTAAACACATAGTAGAGTGTGTGTCATATAGTGAATGTTCCATAATAATACTATTATTATAGATGAGTAGCTAATCAGGTGAAGACTGGATTTGACTCATGCTCTTAGCCACCACTCCATTCTGCTTTCCCCACACATGAAAATAGCAAGGCTGCTAACTAAGGGAACATGACACAGTAGTCCAAACAGGATAACACTCTCACAGCCCCAATTGCACAGTATCCAAAATGAGCTATATGAAAGCAACTTCTACCTAATATAAAAGCCAAAAATTGTATTTTGGGTGGAGGAGAGAAAGGGCAAGAGGGAGACTAGAAAAAGTACAAGCGGGAAAAAAAACCCACAACACACAAAAGAACATATGCCTACTATACCTGGGCCTAAAAAAGTATCAAGCATACCTCACTGCTCAAGACCAAGCTACCTTCTAAAAAGGCCCAAGGAGTGGGCTGTGGGAATCCTTTACCTATTCTATCAGCTGACCAAGTTACTACACCCGAATCCACCAGGGAGTAATAATGCCACAGCCTCGGGACAAGAGAACACAAAAGAGCTCAAGAGTTTCTAAAGCAAGATTTTCTAGCATTCTCATCCTCAGAGAATAACAATGACCTATGCTGAAATAAAACAAGGACTCTAAAAGAAAAAAAAAAAAAAAGAAAGCTAAATATGTCTGATACTGCATTACCCCTTCGGGAGAATATCATTCTACACAAAGGATATACAAGTCTACTCTTTTCAAAGTAAATTAATCCTTTTAATTTAGGTAAGGGGACATCTCTGCCATTTAATCCCAATGTTATATGCATATTCCAAGACAGATATTATCAGTGTTTCTTCCAATGTTCTAATGGCCCGTACAGGGAAAAAAAAAAAATCTAAGGTCATGAAGTCTAAGGACAAGAATGCAAATTCATACCCAACCCAGTGTCATCCAAGGCACAAGGCTTGTTTCAGTGTAGCAGACTGGAAACTCCCTGAGATCAACTCCCTGCAACCCATGGTGGCTACCCACCCAACACCCAATACCCCTTTCTAACCATGCCAGTGAAAGCAACTGCTTTTCCCTCTATTACAAGCTATCAGCAAACAAATGTTTATAGCTCAATGCTTAAACTTTATTTTGGTAGAGCCATAATTTTTTCTAAGGCCTTAATGTTTGAAATTTACTTGGGCAGAATATATATACTTCTATTAAAATAGCAAGCTTCTAACAACAGTACAGTCTCATTCTGGAGGTTTAAGAGAGGGGAAAAAAAAAAAAAAACTAATTTGGAGCTGCTGCCCAAAGTACTGAATCAGCTCTGGAAGTTGTCATCGCCAGCAGAGCTTCCTTAAAGAATATTCCATACGTTATCTGCAACTTATAGGTGCCAAATCATTTCTCATGCTCAGTCTCAACAGCCGGAGACTGACCGAGGGGAATCAAAAGCTATGGATCTAGCACTCTAAGACCCCTGACGTTCAAGGCCAGGCTTTCCCAATACTGTTTGTGTGACCTTGGACAATCCAATTAGCCAAATAACTCTCATTTTCCTCTTCAGTAAACTAGGAAGGGAAATACCTGCCCCACCTGCCCCGCTGCGTCGCTGCTGTCATTAAGTGGCGAGGCCGCTCACTCGCCGTCTCCTGCCCACTGCACCGCCCAGGTCCAGCCCAGGACAGAAGGAGCTGGAGTCCCCGCGGCGCTCGGGGAAGGATGCTCCCCTCACCAGCCCTCCCGCTGGGACGCCGGCGACTCGCGCTCTGACATTTACCGCCGTGGCAGCGCCCGCCCGCTCCGGGACACCTGCCCCGCGCGCACGGTCTGTCCCCTCGAGACTCCCAGGTTCGCCAGCGACCCCTGCCCCGCTGGGCGCCCCTCCCACTCCGCGGTGGAGCGCGGACCCCAGCCCGCGGGGGCTGCACCCGCCTCGCCTCCGGGCGCCTGCAGCTCCGCTTGGGTTGGGGCCAGGCCCCGACCGGCCCCGACAGGCCTCGCCCCAGAGCCTGGCCTCCCGGTCTCCCCAAGCCTGGGGGGCAGGATGGGCGCGAGGCTGCGACTCCTTACCCGGGAGCTTGAGCGCCCTGGACAGCACGGTCGCCATGGTGGAGGCCCCGATGCGCGTGCGCGCGCCCGCGTCCTGCCGGGAAGTGTAGTTCGGAGCGCGCGGCGCGCGGAGCTGGGACCTGGGAAAGTGGGACCTGCCAGGGCGCGCAGCCGGGAGGAGGCGACCTGCTGCAGCAGCCACGCCCACATGCGCGCTCTGCAGCCTCTTCTCCTGCCCTACCCTGGCCCTGGCAAGTCACTTCACCACTCAGTCTCGCTTGCTTCATCAGCCAGATAAGGGAGATAATATCTACCCCATAGACTTGCAGTGAAAAATGGAATGAGATATTTAAGGAGGCGGGTTGTGAAATGTGCGTGGGCTATGAAACCAGACTGGATTAGAATCCTGCCTGCATCACTTACTAGCTGGGCCATCTTTGAGCAAGTTACTTGGTGTGTCTAAGCTTCAGCTTTTTTTTTTTTAGAAACAGGGTCTTGCTCTATCACCCAGGCTAAAGGGCAGAAGCTTCATCATAGCTCACCGCAGCCTCCAACTCCTGGGCTAGAGTGATCCTCCCACCTCGGCCTCCCAAGTAGGTGGGACTACAGATGCATGTCACCAAACCCAGCTAATTTTTTAATTTTTTGTAGAGACGAGGTCTCCCTGTGTTGTCCAGGCTGGTCTCCAGCTCCTGGCCTCAAGCTATCCTCCCGCTTGGCCTCCCAAAATGCTGGGATGACAGACGTGAGCGACTACGCTGGGGCCTCAGCTTCTTTTTTGAACTGGAGACGATACTACCTACTTCACAAGCATGCTGTGAGAACTAAATTATATAATCTGTTTAAAACTCAGCATACAGTGGACACCCAATAAGTGTTTTTCTTTTATGTTTGTTAGTTATAGGTTGAAGTTTCTTTTCTTGCTCCCTGTTCTTTCCAGGTGTCTACTCAGCTCCCTACCCCGCACCTTCTAGTTTGAAGGGTCTAGGAAGCAGGAACCCACTTGCTTCTTCCCCACTGTCACCAAGAGATCAGCATGTTAGTGCAAGAACGCTAAAGACGTTGTACTGTCTTAGAACTGGAACAGATACCAAAGGATATCTAGTCCCATTGTCCTTATTGTATTGAAGAGAAAACTGAGATCAGAAAGGTGACACGCCCTCTTAGTGTCAGCACAAAAGCTCCAACATACCTCTCACTTGGAGGCCACCTCATTCCCACCGGGAACTGAAGATAGGATTGTCCTGTGGGAGTAATCTGAGAGACTGTAGCAACCATCCCCACCTCCCTTTTTCCCACGAAAAAAATGTCAACAATTCTGATAGAGCACAGGCTCTGGAGCCAGGAGCCAGACGTCCTGAGTTCAAATCCTGACTCCATTATTTCCCAGCTGCCAGACCAAGAGGCTAGTTGCTTAATCTCTCCCTGCCTCAATTTCTTCATCTGCAAAATGGCGATAAAACAGTTCCTATTCCATAGAGTTGTCCTGAGAATTAAATGTATACATAGAAAGCACTCAGAACAGTGCTTGGCACCTAGTCTTTTATAAGTTTTCACATTTCTTGTTATTAATAATTTATTAATGTTTTAACAATTTCAAATTTTTATCTTAGTAACGAATAATAATAAATTTAGCAATAATTTCATGGTTTAGTAATTTATTGATTGATTGATTCTTTCAACATTCTACAATGCCCAAACTGTTTGCCACGCCCCTGGAGGCATGATTAAAAGCCACATTTTACATCTAGATAGGTCATCTAGGAGGAACACTACAAGTCACAATGAGCGAGCAGTAGCCTGCCTGATATCAGATTAGCTAAATGGAGCACATTGTTGAGATGTGAAGACTGAGAAAAATAGTCTTTAAGTGGGACAATGATGTAGAAAATGGCCATTTTACTTGCAGAACAACAGGATTTTGAATTTCTGAGAGAAGGTTCGGGTAGACTAAAACAGCCAGGTCACATGGAGTAGGAGAGGAGAGAAATCTGGCTGCTTTTCTTAGTGAAAAAGTATATTCCAGGAGAGTCCCTTCTTGTGTGATTGAAGTAAAATAAAATTGTACAATTTAAAGTTTGATTAAAAACTGCTTCCAACTGTGTAGTTGCCCAAAATGCCTGTGTGCATACACACACGTACGTGTGTACACATAAATAAATGCGTGTCAGCGTATGCACATGCGTAGATGGCATCTCCAGCCCCTCGGATTTCAATGCTTGATCTTCGTGGCATTTCCACTCTCCCCATACTCACCCCAGCTTTGCTCAAATGATTTTCAGAGGGAAGCAGATGCCAAGGAATCCTTCCCTCCCTGGCTTCCCGAGCCTTCCTCCACTTTGTCTTCCTTGCCCCCTCTGGAAATCTCTCCCATCCATCGGTCAACGGAAAAAAAGGCCAAACTTTGTAAACTAATTTTACAGAGATTGAGCCCAATTTGAGGACCATGACCCAGAGCCACGCCCAAGAGGCCTTGAGCAGTGGACTCGGAGTGGTTGAGTTACGGTTTGGTTTCATACATTGCAGGGAGACAGGGGTTACAGGTAAAGTCATAAATCAATACGTGGGAGGCATACATTGGTTTGGCCTGAAAAGGTGGGTCATCTCAAAGGGGAAGGGGGTTACAGGTTATAAGTGGGTTTAAAGATTCTTTACAAAGGATGTCCCCAAGAAGGGAGGGGAGCATGATAAGACATGTCTGACCTCCTTCCTCCTGGAAGGCAATTTAGTTATATAATCAGTGGTACCCTGATTTATGGACTTCTAGAGTTCAAGGGTTGGTGTTAAGAAGCAAGAGGCAGACAGGAGCCTGGTTGTGCAGGGACCTTGAATGCCTTGGCATTGAAGGACTTTAATTAGAAAAATGATATGATCCAACTGGCTGCCATCCAGGAAATAAATTGGAGGAAAACAAAAATGGAGAAAGGAAGACCAGTTACAAGCAAGAGGTCATCACAGATGAAGTCACTCCTGCTTTGCCTCTCAGACACGTGTGCACAAATTCTGACTTTTCACCTGCTTTCCTATTCTGACAAGGAAGAAAATATGGATGCTGTTTCTTTTTCCCTTCTTATTATACAAACTATTAAGCCTTACAGAACTTCTATCTCTTCCCCTGTGAGCCTGACAATAAATGAGACAGTCACCCATGCCCCACCTGACACACCTCTGCCACCCCAGCAGCTGGTCTCCCTGCAGCCCCAGTTGGCTGTCATCTGCAGATGGATCAAATCATATGGACATTTAGGATCCCTGGCTCTCTCCTGCCCCGAGTGATGCCAGGCCTGTGTAGAACGATTACCTTAGATGACATATAATATATGCAAATAAATGCCTTCCCTCTATACGGAGCTGTCATGCAGGGAAGGTAAACAGCCACCAGTCAAGATATGCTATATAAAAGTAAATTCTCCCTAACACACAGTCACGCTAAATACTATCCATTATTCTGATTCCTACACAATTCACACTCCAGCTTGCCTTAGTCGAAGCACATTGTTATAATGTCATTTTATGAATGACTTAAGAACTATTTCTTAAGTATGTTTCATTATAATCTTGACTCCAAGATAAGCTAATAAGACCTGATCACCATTAACTTCTGGCAGCTTTGTGAATTCAGCAGCAAGCTCGGCTTCTCAAGCTGGGGTTTGATAGGACACAGTAATTGATGTGAGACTTAATTCTTCTCTAGGATGATATTTGAGGTTTTGAAAGGAGTAATCACAGTGGCAGAGCCAAGAGGATGTATATAGCCACAAACTAGAGAGAGTTTCGAGACAGATAAATCTACCCTACCTTTGCAACCACAGATATTTCCATTTCTGTTCATTTATTTTTCCTTCCAAGAGCTTGTCCTTAAAAGAACTGAAGGCTCTGGGAAATTTTTCAAGAAACTACATATAAAAAGGCTACTTTTTATTATACTTGTCTAGATCATAAAATCTCATTTCTTTCTTTTTTTCCCCTTTCTTACCATAAATATTCTTCTTTTATACCTTAGTCTTCACGATCTGAGAATGTTATTCTTTTACCAAGTGATTACTTTTTCTTCCTTTATTCCAGCATTAATGACCAAAGGTGGATTGTTTAGAGATAAGATTTTGCTTAACACAGATCATCATCTCATTTTATTTCTTTTTCTGAATTGATTTTTATTTTCTCCTATTCTTTTATTTTTTATTCTTTTTTTAAGGGATGGGGTCTTGCTATGTTGCCCAGGCTGGCCTCAAATTTCTGGGCTCAAGTGATCCTCCCACATCAGTGTCCCAAGTAGCTGAGATTATAGGCATGCACCACTGCACCTGCTTCTGACTTAATTTTTAAAACCCTAGTTTTGTTCATCTCCTGGAAGATTTTACATGAAGCTAGTCTTTCCTCTACTTCCCCAATTTTCTTTTTTTTTTTTTTTGAGACAACGTCTCGCTGTATCACCCCAGGTAAAGTACAGTGGCATCATCATAGCTCACTGCAACCTCAAACTCCTGGGCTCAAGAGATCCTCTTGCCTCAGCCTCCCAAATAGCTGGGACTACAGGCACAAATGACAACGCCCGGCTAATTTTTCTATTTTTAGTAGAGAGAGTCTTGCTCTTGCTCAGGCTGGTCTTGAACTCCTGAGCTCAAGCAATCCTCCTGCCTCGGTCTACCAGAGTGCTAAGATTACAGGCCTGAGCCACTGCGCCCAGCCATACTTCCCCAATCTTTAAGACCAACACTGGTCTTATTTGAGGAGACATTTTTAAATGAGTTTTTACATTTTCCCCCATCACCTTTTGGGGGGAACACTTATTCCCCAATCTTCAGCTCACCATATGGAGGACTTGCACCAGAGTATCTTGGGAGTTTTCTGACTAGTGAGTTCAGAAGGAGGAAGTCAGCCATGCTTGCTTCCCCTCTGGGACTCACTCATCCGTTCACTTTTTAAACTATTCATTCAACTGATATTTTAGCGACCACTACTGAAAGGCCCTATTCTAGATGCTGGAGATTATAGATCAGACAAAACAGACAAAATCCTTGTCCTTGTGGAGTATAGTGTTTGAGGGATCGGTGGGCTGCACAGGGGAGAAGATATTGATAGATAGATAA